TCATGTTAGATGGTCATTCTGGAGGAGGAGATACCGTATTTAAATTGATCATTTGGAATTGCTATTTTCCCCTCCTTTGGCTTTTTCTTTAACTTAATTCATGCTTGTCACTTTCTCCAAGGAATAACTCAAATCCAATGCCTACAAAGTTTTCCCTAAAGAATGTTCCAGTCTGAACATCCTTTAGCACGTATGGGATATTTGGGCTCTACCCTTAATCCTGTGCAGAGCTAGTCTCAAAGTCTGAGTGCAAGAAGGCCTCAGCAGCCCAAACCTACATTTCCCCATGTAGAGGAGGACAGTGGGGCCGTGCCCTGCTGGCACAGCTGTCAACCTTGGAGTCAGAAGGCTGACCCCAGGCAGTTCTTACTGACTTCTGTTTTGTTGGGGCCTGATAGTTTCGCATGAGTGTGTTTGGTCTCCCTGCTTGAGAGATTTGTTATTATGACACAGTCTCCTTGCTTAACCAAAGATCATTTTTTCACATCTCAGTGCAGAGGAGCCACACTGGAAAGCTTGACACACCCATAAGCATGCCCCAATCCTTTGGCCCTGTAGCACTTTTTAGACTTTCAAGCTTTGGTATCTAAAATATATTTATTTTACCCCATGTATCAGTAGAACCGGTTAGTATTACAAATCATTCCGATTTTCTACATTCATAGCTGTCCTAACAAGGAAGTGTGACTAAATATAGATGTGTTAATTAGATGATTAGGTAAACGTTTATTCTTTGAGTCCTTGGAATCCTGTGTTGAGATGATTAGTAAGATACAGATTTTACAATCTTCCCAGTGTGGCCAAACCCTTTCATTCACCAAAGACACTGGATGAGAACTTCTGAGGCTGGGGTCCAGGCCTCTGTGTGTGGCAAGGGTTCTCCACATGGTTAAGACTCAACTGAGTCACAACTCAGTCCGACTCCACAGACACCACTGAGAACCATGGCTTATATGAGAAATCCTCTACACGTAGGAAGAGAACCCTTTGGCTACACACGTAAAATCTTATGGCTAGGTACAAACTGATATCCTCTGCTAGGGAAATTAGTTGGTGCTGTGGTCTCTACTCTAGCCCTAGCTAATAGGCTGGTATTTTGTTTATAAAGTAAAGAATTAGCCGAAGACAATTTAAGGTTTTACTGGGAACCTTTCCTGGGGCCTTGCCTTGGGCTGGGTGTAGTACCTTCTTCAAGCCAAACATTTCGTTTTCAAAGGAGGCAAAGTTGAATACGCTGGTGATTGTGATGTCATAGAAATTACACATATTTTATAACCTTTTGAATATAATGAGGCACAGAGTGGTAAAACTACTTTTACCTTTTTTTTTTTTTAACTTCAGGACACTAGCGATCATCTAATTCTGCAATTTCCGAATGGGACAACTCATTTTAAAAAAACATGATAAACTGTCTCTTGGTAAGAATTTGGGGTAGAAAGAATTCTGTTCCTCCCCAGGAGCAGGTTATGTCATCATAGCTCCATGTGTAGATGGGCCGAGTGGCACTGCCATTTATTCAGTGCAGAGTTGAGAGGGTCTGTGCTTAGCACTCGAATATTGGACATGATTCAAATATGCGTCGTGTGTCTAGAGGCTTTATTCATACCTATTTTCTTTTAGTCAGCAATGCTTCATAATGCCTTGGTTTCATGAATTAATTTTAATGGAATTAAACTTGAACAGCTCAAAATTATATAATTAATTTCATTCAGCTTCAATTAAAGTTACTAATTGAATCAAGCCTACTAGCATGACACCTGGCGGCAGTCAGCTACGTAACAGTAGGAGTATGAAGAACTGCTGATAAGCCAGTTCATGTATACTAGTGAGACTGTAGAAAGTCTTTTTCACTGATAATCTTCAAAAGGCCTGAGTTGACTACAGCAGTAAAGAATTCTGCAACTGTTTAAGAAAGTTAAGATTTTAATTGAAACTAGCACATTTTCTGAAGATTACATTTTTTTTCCCTATGATAATGCTGGGTAAATGTCACATAAATCTAGAACATATTGGCTTAACATGCTTTTAATTTATATTTTACTGATGTTTGAATATGGTTTTGCAGTCTGAAAATGCTTAGCATTGAAGGCCTCCCCCCCCCTTTTTGTAGCAATCTTAAGCTCTGGTTTTCATCCTGAGTTTACATCCATCTATTTCTCATGTGTTGAAAGGTGTTTTGTGGCAGAATTGTTAATTTGTTGTGAAATCTCTATGATACATGAGATTTTTTTGCATGTGCAGAAGTTTTTCCCCTTCTACTGGAAATCTAAACAAGATTAACAGCTAACAACTTCTGTCTTAGTCTCTCATTTCTTTGCCTCCATAGCTTGACATCAGGTCATTTCTCCACTGCTTCCTCATGGTACAGTCTAGTCTTTCTTCCGATGAGTAATTGGAAATGCTTCAAGAGTGGAATTTGAGGAAGATGACCAGTGTGTGTCCAGCATGTCTCCAGGGACTGACCTGACTGGACAGCAGGGGAGTGAAGAAAAGACAAAACACATAGAGAACAGCAGGGAGCAGCGTCCTAGGCTCGCTGATGGAGAAGCCCAGCACCCAGGACGATAGTGTTTCCTATATGTGGTTAAACTGGAGGCAGGGCATACAGTACACAGCTAAGTCATGCAGCGTTTACAGATAGAGCTGAATCAAGGAGGCAGCTTTAGCTAATGTCACTAGAAGCACTCTCTATAGGAGAGCTCTCTTCAGGTTGTAATGTGGGCGGGTAAGGTGTATATTCTCTGTACATACTATGAACTCTTGGGCTAGTGGAAAGTTTGGCAATCTATTTGAGCCTCCCTTGGTGTGGAATGTGCCAATGCCCTATGGCTCTGTCCTTGACATGGATCGCTCATGTCCAAAAATATCCATTTACTCAGGACTTCACCCACTCCCTACAGACTAGCTAAGGTAGCTGTAACTTTCTTTCTGGTTTGCATATTCAGGTACTCAGTACTGAATGTATCGCCTAGACTGTGACCTGCATGAAGCCTGAGTAATACACAGACATCACCCAGTGAAATGCATAGTTATTTGTAGACACCATCTGTATTCTGGGGACATAATGAATAGGCTTTTCTCCCATTCTTCAGATCTTTTGCCATCAAATCCAGATGAAAAGTTTGGTCATTTCCAGCCCCGTTTGCTTATCCGTGCCAACCTCACTTATGCTGTCACACCTGCCACCTTTTCTATTATGTCACTCAGTTAAAACTCCCATCGGTGCCTATTTGAACTTTGCTAATGCTCCACGTTAGTGCCTGTATTAGTTCCTTTACTGTTGCTATGATAAAGCACCCTGACAAAAACATCTTCAAGAAGAAAGGGCTTGTTTTGGAGAAATCTAGTCCCTCTTGGCATGGAAGACATGGGAGCAGGCAGAGAAGGTACTGCAGCAGGCGCCGAAGCCTGCCTAGTTACATACCATCTGCTCTTAGGGAGCAGAGAGTGAGTAGAAGGTGGGGCATGCTGTGAAGCCTCCAGGCCTACCCCAAGTGACCCGCGTCCTCCACTGAGCCTCGACCTCTTCACATTTCCACAACCTTTTCAAATAGCTCCATCAGTCGGACCAGCTGCTCACACATGCGAGCCTATCGGGGCCAGACTCAGTATCTTTCTCTCCTCTCCACTTCTTCTTCCTTTCCCTCTGTCTCTCTGTCTGTGTCTGTCTGTCTGTCTGTCTGTCTCCCTCTCTCATATTTAAAGGACATAGGAACAGTATATCACCTGAGGGTAGTGCCTTGTCCCTTCAATGAAATAGAATTATTCATCGTGGCCTAGGAGTCTGCTTTTTCATGAACGTTCCCCAGTCAATTAGGCTTGAGAAACACAGATGTGCCTGTTTATTAACACGTAGCTTTGCTTCAGCATTTCACAAAGCTTCATGGCTGCCTTGATTTGTTCATCTTGTTTTTGAACTGAGTCTGGATTTCCTGTGTTGGCACTCGGGTAACCGCATTATATCTTCATCGGAACGTTAGTCTTACCTCCTGTCCCTCTGAAAGAACTTCATAGCCTGGAGCTAGGACCTTTGCCCAGGTGTCTGCTTTTGGAGTTTTGCCATGCTGTTCTTCCACCTTTCTCCCATGTGACTTTTTGAAGTTCTTCTAATCTTTTAGAAACCATCCAATGTGCTTCTTTCTCTATAGTGTCTTCCTTGATCTCTGAATCCTGATGAGATTTTTTTTTCTTTTCTTTTGAACTCCTTTCGTGCGCTGGACCTTTCATAGCATGCATTTTACCTTGTGTTATAGGTTGTGTGTTGTTTGACTTATGCTCCCAACAAGACATTCCATTTCCTTACATGTTACCTCTCCACTGAGGACCCATAATCCTACAGATCAACCTCTCATCCTAAATACTTCCCTGTCTGAGGATGCATTGCTCACTCTTTGGCTTTTCCTTCAGCATCTACAGAGAGAACTCTGTACCCGTTTCCCGTATCCTCACTGCCCAGTTACTTCTCATTCAGCTGTGGTCTGGCTTTTATCTCCATCAATCATTTGTAGTCTCTTCTCCTTTGATGCTTTTTCTGTCTCACCTGTTTCCTACCTGTATGGACTCACTCACTCTCATTCTTGATGTACCCTTTCTACATTTTTCTGTGGTGACAGATTACTTGCCACGCTAAACCTTATTTACTACAATCCTGAGAGATTTTATTTTATGGTGGGGTGAGAATGTTTCTTTAATGATGAAAAGATAGTAAGTGCTCAGCCAATGTTATTGGGCCACTAACATAAGCAACAGTCAATAATGGTGTAATTCTAATTCCTGAAGCTATGACAGTATGAAAAATTAATCACGTGTGATGACGCATATCTATGATTCTAGCACTTGGAAGATACTAGTCATCATCAACTACATAGTAGTTCCAGGCCTGTGTTCTATGAGATACTGTCTCAGGAAGAAACCCTCAAACAAGCAAACTACATTCCCCCAAATGCAGAAAGACTTGCAGCATTCATCAAATGATAAACACTGTTTATAATCTTTTCCAGAAAAATGTAATGAGGACAGTACTGAGAAAGATGTAAGTCCAGCTACCAGTAGCCACTCCAGGTGTGGGCTGATGCGGGACCAGTCCATTTGGAGAACCCCTTCAGATGGTGAACTCATCAGAAGTAAGTATTTCTTAAGAGAAAATTTGCATGATTCAGGGGTGTGACTATGATACCATAACCTTCAGTTACCTTCCCAAGTAATGTTGCTACACATCTATAACTCTGAAATTGTTTTTATTGGTACTAAAACATCAGAGCTAAAACTAGGCTGGGAATATACCATGAGCCTTCATACCTCTTCTAGAATGGAATAATTGACTTGTAAATGATATTATACTCTACTGTTAGGTTTCCTCAGAGGTAGCTCTTTCCTCAGTGGAAATCAGGCATCTTTAAGTACATGTTGGACTGTGACACTAAGAAAACAACACCAGATCTAAAGGGCAGTTCTCTGGTGGTCTCTGTTATTTTTGCAAGTGATGCCTAACTTGCCTGTATATCACTACTTGTGTATTTTGATACTTCTCTTGCCCCTCAGGTTGCTTTGTAGAGTATATGCAAAGCAATCGGTGTGTTTACTTCACTCTGACAATGCTATCCTTTGGATGATCTTCAAAATGTGAGTTCTATATGAGGCCTCAGATGTAAACTTGTGTCTAGTCCTTGAATCCCCCTAAATTGTTCAAATTGAATTTTCCATGACAAGAATTTAGCAAAGGAGAGAGAGTAAAGGGTCACCCCTGAAAAAGCATAGAAGAAAATATTTTGAATTCTTGTTCATGGTTACTGCGTCTCTACATTATTATGCTGGAGTGGAGAAAGAATACATTTCTCAGATTCAAGTGTTGTGCTATCTAATTTAGATTTAATTCATTACTTCAGAAAATTTATGATATAGATTTTCTTTTGTCTTACATTTTTCTTTTCTTCAAGAGTTTTGACATTACTTCTAGAATGCTCAGTGGTTGGCCCTTACTGAATAGTAGAAAAAGGCCAACTTGGCAGAAAATTGACAAAAATAGTAAAAATATTGTTGAAAGACATTTATAGCTTTTTTTTTTTTAAATCTCAAAACATTTTTTTTAACTTTAGATTTGAGATATTTTTGTCTTGGAGACTGGACTAGGAAGGAAGGATATGTGCTCAAACAGGATTTATATAGCCTTTTCCAAACAATCAAATAAACACTATTTCAAGTAAACAGTTGTCCCTCAACATTTGGTGACCCTCTTTTATCGAAATATTGGCTCTAAAACTGGGAAACATAACATTTGGTGAAAGAGTGGCATATTTTGCCTGTGGTTTCCTAGCAACTAGACTTGGCACTAGGGTACACAAGGAGAAAACTTAAGTCCCACGTACTAGGGACACACATGTAGTTCCCCCTCTTTTCATTTTTTTCTCTTATTTTAGAAACAGAATTGTAAGAGTTCCATTTAATTGATTTATTTTTCCAGTCTTTCCCCCCAAGGTATACACTAGAAAAATGTAAATAAGATCACTGAAGGCAAATCCCCCAGTACACTGTTACATTTGGGTATGGAGAACTGTGTTAATGTGTTAAAGTTTTTTTTTTTTTTTTTTTTTTCTACTTGATAGAATTCTTTTTAGTCACAGAATTCATAGTGTTACGAAGACAGGATTTAAAGTGAAGTGCTCTTTCCATTGTCTTTACCAGTTCAGTGGACACTGATCAAAACTATGAAACAGTTTCCTTACTGAGATAATGATGCCGTGTGTGCCCTGGGACACTGGAGCATCTAGGAACAAGGGTTTAGGTTACTACTAATGTTCACAGAAAGAATGTAGAGACACGGAGACCTGTCACCTCCTATGAGAGTGCTGCTGGGACCTTTGGCAGATAAACAGATATGTGAAAATAATGGCCATAGCCTGTAATGCCACTGGAAACCTCAGCTGGCAACAGTTTTCCAAATACTTGTGGGTGAACATCTGACTCAGAATGAGGACTAAAAATTCCAGACCCTCTTATTTCTGCTCTTTTTCCAGTCATACTTTTCTAGATGAAGGCTGGCTTGTTGGATGTATAAGAAACATTCAGAGTGGAACAACTTACAGCACGTTAAATGTGACCCTGTTCCAGACAAATCAAGAAGTGTGCTATTGTGGGAGCGTCTACTAGTCCATCTCACTGAGTTTTGTACTCCGGGTAGCTGTCTGTCTGCCTTTTCTTCTTGGCCTCCCCCAATAGTGTCCTGAGCCTTTTCTGCCTCAATGTCTGCTTCCCACATTAGGGGAGATGGGTGTTTTCATCTTGCTTTACTGTTCAGGGCATTTTCGAGGCTCCACACATTTTTTGTCATAACAATAGACCTTGGAAAGGGAGGCTGTGGCTCAGAACTCCATGGGGCCGGAGGGAACAGCTGCGGTGAGTCAGCTCTGGCTCAGCCTGTTCCAGGAGTCCTGTGTGGCTCCCTGAGCGCTGTGGAAGAACAGGACAGCTGGCTCCCACAGAACTGATGTGAGTGTTCCCACTGAGGTGCTAGGTTGGCTGGAGGGAGAAAGCATCAGGAAAAGAAAAGAAAAAAGAGGACGGCTGGGGTGTGGGAACAGTTTCAAACTCAAAACCCACTCTTTTTTCCAACCTTCCCTGGGCTAGCTCAGCTGCAGATGTCAAAAGTGCAAAGATGTCAAAAGTGCAAAGTGTTGAATCTGATTGAGTTTTCTTTATCTGTTCTTGAGAGTAGTTACCGAGGGCTGAAGGATGACTCACTTGTCTCCATTGTCCAGGGTGCCTGATGCCTTCTCTGTGGGACATTTAAGGGATAATTTATAATGGACTGTTATCTGGCACTGTGTGAAGAGGCTGTTTTTACTTTTCTTTGCTGAGAATAAAACAGCCCTGGAAAGTCGAGGGAGTGGCTGCTTTGGAAATTGCGTTCTAATTAGAGGGTGTATTCGCAGGCTTCATAAATGAGATCCAAGCTGAGAACTTTAACCTTGACCTCCATGGAGGTCACACGGAGCGGGGCTCCTGTGATACACGGAAAGTCTTCTCTCCTTAGTCCTTCTACAACACGCCTGGCAGGTGACAGGCGTGGTGCTGTGATTCGAAGGCTTTCCTTTAAAATCTCTGGCCCCTGAGTTGCTAACTTATTAGAGAAAATCCTTTCTGGAAGTGATAAATAAAAGAGAAGAAATCCATATGGAATGAAGCATTTCCAATAAATAGGCCACACAGAGTCTAGAGAGGGAATGTGTCTTGTGAATCTCTTTCTTATGAAATTTAAATGAAAAAAGACATCTCTAGCCACTTAAGTTTGTTAAAAAAAAAAAGAAAAAAGAAAAGAAAGAAACTTACATTAGCAAAGAATTAAAAGCACAATAGAGGTTTTCTGAGGAAATTTTATAATTGAAAAGCTTCGTTTCTATTTTATGATTTTTAAAAAGAGATCCTTTAAAATGCTTAAGAGGCACTTATGGTCTGAGAAAATATTTTGGTGTATAATTTAATTTCTGGGGTATATTTTAAATTTCAGTCTGTATAAAAACTTTTTTCTTTTTTCGAGAGCATGGACTGAGAAGTAGGCTCTTCCCCTTACAAGAGCATGTTGGGTGTGCTGTATAATTTGAACCTACACTTTTTAATAGTGTTTTGTTGTAATAACTGGCAGTTTTCTGACTTCATAAAATACACATTTCAGTGAAGTGAGCAACTTATTAATTTTTCTATTTGCGCTGCAATACTCACAAATCCATAAAAGGTAATGGGCAACATTACATGTTTTAAGTACATTTAAAAAGGAATGATCTTGGGGTGATTTCCAAAATAAGAAGGGGTGTTTACATGTGTATATGCTGACTCTTATGTGTGCATATATGTCTATATGCATTTACATGTATGTACCTGTTCCTCTACTGTCAGGCTAGTCACCATGTGTCGCTAATGTTTTGGTTTAATTTAGGTCAAATTCTACCATCCTAGTCATTTCCTATGAAGAGCTAACGTTTTTCTTTGTTCCTCTTCATAAAGTGCCTGAGGTCTCTATTGCAGATTTTTCTAAGTCTTTCTGAACATTCCTATTGCTTAACTTTGTCCATGGACATTGCTTTGTACATAATTTGCCTCTAATTCCAAATGTCATTACTTAACTCCAGAAAATTTCCTCAGCTTCTCTTCTAAAATAAATTTCCTATTAAATTAAACTGTTTGGTTCAGCTAATTCTCTCCTTTGTGATTTTATAGAATTCCCACGATCTGAAGCAAAGTTAGAATGCTCTACTTAAATGGTAATCCCCATTCTGTTTAACCCATTTATTCATTTTGAAGAGTTTTTAGCTCTCATAACAGTAAGCACTTAATTGGCAGGAGAATGCCAGCCGCTCTCTAATTCACACTTGCCCGCCCTTGTGGAGAAGCAGCTCCTTGCCTTTCCACTCACCCTCCTACTTGAAGCCTTCCTCTTGGCGTCTTTGAATCTCCTCTCCATATCAACAGGCTCTGCTGTTAGGAACTCTATTATTTCTTTTCTGAGCCTCTGCCAGCTTAGAGCTGATCACCATTAATGAACCCCATTCCATCATTTCAGGGGATTCCGCTTGTGTACAAAAAAACAGCGAAAGGAAGGCAGATGCTTGGGCATACTGTCACATAGTTAGAACATTTCTTATTTTGGTGGTAGACAGAGAGCACGAAGAGGTTTTGATTTAAGTGTTTTCTGCAGGTCTCATGTTTGAATGCCCATTTCAACAACCATTATTTGGCTTTCTTCAGAGTTCAGTTTACGTGAAAGTAAAACTCCCATTAATGTAGCATCTTGCGAGAACCAGTAGATGTAGCTTAAAAAAAAAAAATCATGCTTAGTAATTTCAGGCATTACCTGACACTTCCTGCTCATTTGTGTCTCTGAGAAGTACTGGAATCAAGTCATTCTGATTTTTAAGTTGCTCAGTGTCCTTTCTTCCTCTATCCAGCTATCAGTAAATTCTCTTTCTCCCATGCTGACCAAGCATTTACACGAGCTAGCTAGCAAACGAGCTAGCTAGCACATTTGCTTTGCTCATTGTCCTAGAGCAGAACATTTAGTCATCAGTTATTACAAAATCAAGTTGATGGTTTGGTTTTCAGACTGGCTGTAACTGTGGCGTGTAATTTATTG